CTTCAATAACAACAGCAGCAGCTCGTACTATTTATTGAAGCGGGGAGGGGGAGGGGCCCTCCTCATCATCACCACCTATCTAGTCCTCCCGTCTTTCAAAACAAGTAAATCAAACTCTGAGTCCCCTGGAGCTTTGCAACATCAGAGAACTCACTCCGCCTCTCCGAGATTCAGTTTTCTCATTGACAAACAAGAACTAGAAAGCCGGATTTTGGGGTGTGTGCATGATTAAAAACAATCTCTGCAAGGAACTGAGGTAAAAAATTGAGAGAGTAACACTCATAGCTCCTTCTATCCAGAACTTTCTAGACACAACACCCTCTGTCAAATATTTTCACGCATGTGACAGGTGATCCACCTGAATCTGTTTTGAGGCCTGGTCCACAGGAAGCATTTATTGAGCATACTATATTCTGGTTCCTGAGGTTACAATGGAGAATGGAGAAGTTCTGTGTTCTCCAAGCCAGGTTTAGTGGGAGAGCCAGACAGTTGCAGAGCAGCTGGACCAGTACTGGGAAGGTGGGATTGGCACAAAGGAAGGCCACCTGACCCTGCCTTGGGGGATTGGGAAGTCTTTAGAAGAAAGTAATACCCAGGTGAGAGATGGACTAGTAGTTGGCCTGGCAAAGAAGGGTAGTGGAGAGCGAGAGTGTTCCAGGCAGTGGGAACAGCATGTGCAAACTCCTAGAGGTAAGAGGTAAGAGCAAGTGTGGCTCATTCAGAAAACCGAGTTATTCATTTCACCTGGATTATAAAGTTGAAGGTGGAGAGAGGTGAGTAATTGAAGGAGTTTGTAAGCCAAGTTTAAGAGTTTGGATTTTACTTATGAGAGTCATGGATGTGTTTTAAATGGAGGCTTTAGAGTTTGGGAAACTGGTTGGCTCATCATCTCTGGGTGTGTGTTGATATGCCCAAGGGCTGGTGTTTGGTTAAAGGTAGGGGGGACATCAGATTTGTTTGGGATTTTGCCTATTCAGTATCCATGGCTCTATTTTCCCTTAGGTAACCAACTGCTTCCCCCCTAATGGTTATGGTCTCAATGGGATGGTCAGTCAAGGTGTTCCCCCTCCTCTCGCCAGGGGTGGGATGTGGTCCAGGCTACACTGTCCAGAATTTGAATCTTTGGCTTGGACATAAGGATGGAACCTAGTTGTTTTCATTCACGTCCAAATTTGCCCCCTGAAGAGATTTGTCCGTTTGAGGGCCAGAGCTGTTCTAGTTTCTGATTTACCTTATTTCTGCAATTCCTTTGATTAATGAGCTCCCCACAATAGTTTAACTAATGATTAAATTAATTAACTATATACACATACATACTCACATATATCTATAATTACAGTGTAAGTTTACCAGAATCGTTTTCTGTTGCTTGCTACCAAAGAACTCTAGCTAATATACAAATGGTGATGATTTTGTTGGATTTAAGCAGTAGAAAGCTAGCTTAAGCAAAAAACAAAACCAACCAAGCAAACCCCTCAAAAATGCATTATAAAAATATTGAAATATTTTAGAAAGTGAAAAGATGAGTTGCTTGGGAAAATTGGGGCCTAGTGCAGGGCTGAAGGATTCAGTGGAAGGGGAACTACTGCCCTTGAGTGTTGGCTTTTACTCTTGACCTCATTTCCTTGTGGTGGCAAGATAGCTGCCGTATCTTAAACATCACGACAATATCCCAGGGCATCTCTAGAGAGTTGTCAACAGTGAGACTCAATTTTTGCGACCCCCAGGCTGTGTCTTCTTAAAGTTTCAAATCCCCCAAAGAGGAAATCTGATTGGTCCTGTTTGGGATAGGTGTGTACTCCAGTGGGGTAGGGGTAGATCTCATGATACAGACAGGACAAGTGTGGGAGGTACCTCTCTGTTCTGGGATAGCTGTTGTGAACTGGTGGCTGTTCCAGAGATGTGTTTGACCTTGTCCGTTGGTAGAAACCAGAGACCTTGGCATGGAAAATAAGAACGTGGGTGGGACCAGGGGCTGGGAAACCAGTTTGCCAAGGCTGGGTCCTCCAATTATTACTTTTGAGCTGGTTCCACCATGACCCAAGGAGAGCCGTGGGTTTCCCTAGAATCAGGAGGACACCTGCATTGGGAACCTGCACAGGTCCCCAGGCTCAGAGATGGTGACATTGCGTCAGGTGAATGATTTCCCACACCCATTACATTTTTGAGTCAGTATCCTTAAGACCAGGGTTCCAAGAAATAAGAGAGCCCCCTAGTTAACAGAGCATGGTTCCTTCACTAAGATGAGACACAGGCAGTTGAGGAGACCTTACAAGGGGAAGATTTTACTGGAGAAGGAAGGGTGTAATTGAGTGAACCAGCTGGCTGACCTCAAGTTGGCAGGTCAACAAGACCACGAGGACACTTGGCCATGAGCACATATGAGGTACTCACTGTGGCCCAGACATATGTGGGGGAACCTGTGAGGAGCATTGCAGTTCTGCATCAGCAACTAGGAACTTGGAACCATTGCAATTCTGGTGCAAATGTTCTTGTGACCTTAATTGTACTCATGAGGGCTGGAGACCTTTGGGTCAACAGCACAAAGGAGCAGTTGACATTATGCATATGTCACAAATGCATAAAAAGGGTTAGGGCATTGAAGTTACCTTCTGAAGGCCCCACAGCCCGTAACGGAGCATAGATCCAATCCCACATCACTTGGATCCTGAAGCCCATTAATTGGAAAGCTTTGGTTTCAAATGAAACACCCAACTAAAACCAGATTAAATAGAAAGGACAATATCTTATTTTAAAAAATGGAGGTCTGGACATAGATGGTTTTGGAATAGGTTAACTCAGCAGCTCAACATCATCGAAATACTTGGTTCTTGCCATCTTTCTGCTCTGCTATCCCTGGAGAAGTGGTTCTCACAATATTGTCCAGGGACCTCCTGGGGTCCCTGAGGTCCTGTCAGAGGTTCCTTGAAGCCTAAATTATTTTCATAATAATATGAAGATATCATTTGCCTTTTTTCAATCTGATTATCTCATGAGGATACAATGGACTCTTCCAGTGGCTACATGACATGTGATGAATCCATCTCTCTGGTGGCCAAGGGAATGTGTGCTGGTGTAGTCGTGTGTGTTGAAACTTTCTTGGATTCGATTTCTAATACAGTCAATCTTGATTGATGTAACTCACATAAGCAAAAGGTCTTTGAGGTCCTTGGTAATGTTTAAGAATATAGGAGGGTTTTTTTTTTTAAAGATTTTTATTGGGAAATTAGGGGGATGGGAATAGCGCTGGGGAATTGGGGGAAGGGGAACAGACAAGTTGCTGTCATTTTGTTCTTCAATCTAGTTGTGGAGGATGTTGCTTCACTGGCCCAAGTTGGCACCATCATTGCGCTCTTCCCGGGTGAGGCAGATCAGTCACCGGCTTCTGGACGGCCGCTCACTGTGGCTGCTAGCCACTCACGCTGGCTGCTGGCCGCTCACGCTGGCTGCTGGTTACACACGGTAGCCCATGGCAATCCACTGCCACAGGGACTGCAGCCCACGCCGTTGCCGGCGACTCACAGCAGCCCAGCTCCAGGTTGAGCTGTTGTTCAGCATCTTAGCTGTAGAGGGCAGTGTCACTGGCCCTCACATGTGGGATCCGAACCGGGGCCCTCTGGCATCCCAAGCGAGTTCTTAACCATCGCGCCACTCGGCCGGCCCTATAGGAGGGTTTTGAGACTAAAAAGTTTGAGAACCACTGTTCTCAAATATTTGTTTTTGCCCTCAGCCTAGTTTCCTCATGGCCGCAAAATGGCTGCCACATCTTAAACATCACAATGCTGTCCAAAGGCCTTTTCACTGGGCCTGATTTCAGTAAAGAGAACTTTTCCAGAAGTCCCTCATCAGACCTTCCATCATGTTTCATGGCCAGAATTATATCACATGTTTATTCCTCAATTGGTCATTGGCAATGGTGATGATTCATGCCCGAGGGCTAAACCTTGCTTCCCTGAAGGCTGTGTCCTCCTGATACTTGAACACAATTCGGATTTATTTAGCAAGGAAGAAAGAGGGTATATATAACTTAAGATATAGGTTCAGGCCGGCCGAGTGGCGTGTTGGTTAGGAGTTCGCTTGGGACGCCAGCTCTGTGCAGCAGGGCCCTGGTTCGGATCCCACATGAGGGCCAGTGACCCTCCCCTCTACAGCTAAGATGGTGAACAACAGCTCAACCTGGAGCTGGGATGCCGTGAGTTGCCGGCAACAGCTTAGGCTGCAGTGGGCTGCCATAAGCTACCATGTGTGGCCAGCAGCCAGCATGAGTGGCCAGCAGCCGGTGTGAGCTGCCAAGAGCCGCTGTGAGTGGCTGTCCAGAGGCCGGCAACCGATCTGCCTCACTCGGGAAGAATGCAATGATAATACCAACATGGACCAGTGAAGCGATGTCCTCCACAACTAGACTGAAGAACCAAAGAACAGCAACTTGTCTGCTCCCCTTCCCCAATTCCCCAACACTGTTCTCCTCTCCCAATTCTGCAATAAAATCTTAAAAAAAAAAAAAGATATAGGTTCAGTTGCATTTTGGTTCACAGGAAGTGACAGGAAGTGAAAGGCAAGCCTAAGCTGCTTATTAAGAACAGACCTAGAAGTAATAGATTCATTTACATTCCTACCCCATTGGCCAGATCGGGTCACAAGGGCACAGTACATTGCAAGGAAGGCTGGGAAATGTAGTCTTTAGCTGACGAACTGTGTGCCCAGCTAGAACTTGGAGGATACTATTTCTATAAGGAAAAGGGGGAGAATGTATGTAGAAGGTTAGTAGATAGTCTTTGTCACACTCATTGAATGAATGAACCTCTAGGATAATGGATGGAGTCACACGTCTACTGATGACTGGTTGTCAAGATCAGCTGAAAGGCTGACAAACTCTGGGATGATTCATTGCCTGGAGGGCAGGTGATTGACTGGCTAATGACTGAGAGTTTGGACTTAGGGGCAGCCCCCCTTTGCCTTTCTTGTCTGACACCCTTTCTCTGTTTCCTCCTCTTCTCCAGTTCAGCAATGTCACCTTCTTCATCTTTGGGCCTCTTATGATGTTCCTGATGCACGCCTATGCCCAGAAACGCTCCCGCTACATTTATGGTGTTTGTGTCCTCTTCATGGTCGTAGGTAGGTGGGAGTCTGTGATTGTGAGGCAGTGCTGGTGGTAGGCAGGGACACCCCTTGACCACCTTCCTTTGTCTCTTGCTGCAGGCCTGTTCTCCATGTACTTCCACATGACACTCAGCTTCCTGGGCCAACTGCTGGACGAGATCTCTATTCTGTGGCTGCTGGCCAGTGGTTACAGCATATGGATGCCCCGCTGCTACTTTCCCACCTTCCTAGGGGAGAACAGGTGTGGGGAGGCGGGGGGCCAGGGCTGGCCGTCTGGTGATCCTGTCGGAGCCCAGCTAGGTTCCTGGGTTGCCTCCCAGAGCACTCTTGGGGTCCTTGGAATCCCTCCCTTGACCACCCCAGGACTTTCTTCTGACCTTGCCTGACTTAACTGGGCTCCTAGGGACCCCTCCACTGAATGTACTTGGAACTCCTGGAATTCCTCTCAGAATTCCTCCCCTGATCCCAGCTGGATAGCCTAGGACCTTCTCCAGACCTTGTCTGAGCCCACATGGGGGTCCTGGGGCCCCATGCCTACGCTTAAGCCTACCTGGGCCCCCAGACCTCTCCCCTGAGCCTATCCCCTGAGCCTTCTGGAATCTTTTTAATCTGATCCTCCTGGGCCCATCTCGTGACCAAGAGCTCTCTCCTAACCCTGCTTAACCCACCTGAGCCTTCAAAAACCCTCCTCCTGACAGTCCCTGGGACCCCTGTAGTTCCTCCCTTAATCTCACCTGGGATCCCCTGAATCCTTGTCTGTCCACACCTGGGCCCCTGAAACCTTCACTGACACCTGGGCCTTGGGATTCTCTGCTGAGCCCACCTTTTTCTGAGTTCCATTGGGTTCCTTGGAACCCCTTCCCTTTTCTCATCCACCTCTGCCACGAGATCTCCATGTGACTCTGCCTAGTCCCCCAGGACCCTCCCCACCCCCCACCCCCACAGCTGAGCCCTTCTCCCTCCAGGCCCCAGTTCATCTGCCTGGTCGTCATCACCACCATGGTCAGTACCTTCCTGTCCTTCCTGAGGCCCACCGTCAACGCATATGCCCTCAACAGCATCGCTGTGCACATCCTCTACATCGTGTTCCAGGAGTACAAGAAGTGGGTGGTGGCTGCAGGGGCCGGGAAGGTGGCTCCCATACCCCCTAGAAACCTCCTCCCATACTTGCCAGGCACAGAGTTCAAGATCATCTATGAGTGAGGGGCAGGGCCAGGGTCTGAACCTAAGACTGTCTGACTGCAGACTTGTCCTTTTTTATTATGAACCCGCACATATATACAAGCAGAGAGTGTTGCACCCCAAACCTCCATGTGCCCACTAATCAGCCCCAACAGCCATCCACATTTTACCAACCTCCATTATATATTCCCCCCAGATTTCATATCATGACACCCATTAATTTTTCAGGATTTTAGTCTCCCAATAAAGAATTATTATTTTTTTAACCCATACTAGATCTTAGCAGGAAAGAGAGGAACTCTCGAATGGAGCTATTTGAGGAGAGTTGAATAAAAGGGTTATTTACAAAGGAGAGGGCAAGGTGTAGGAAAATCACTAGGGATCATTTAGAATCTCTGCTAATAAGAATGGGCTTCTGTGACATCAGAGACCTGGGGTGAGGGGTGATGGGAAGGAGTGATTACAAGAATCTGGAAGGAGAGAGCCTGCATAGAGGGAGGGTCTCCTTCGCAAAAGCTGTGACCTCCAGTTGTACTGATTGCAGTCAGCCTGAGCCAACTCCACAGAAAGGGAGTTCTGGAAATAAATCTAACATTACCTTCCCCTGCCTTTTGATTTTCTGCTGGTGATCCCCATGGGCCAACTCAACTGGAAGCAATTGGCCAATTCAAGTGGAAACCATTGGCCAACCCAACTGGAAGCCCTAGATCAAGGGAGCCCTTGGATTTGGTCCACACAGCTCAGTCCCTCTTCCCCTAGGGTAGAGGGCAGAGTGAAGAAGGGTAGGGAAGAATCTAGAGGGGCAAATGGAAGCTATGGCACACGCACTTCTAACAAAGTTAACATAGTTCCTTAAAATAGTATCTAATACTCAGTTCTTATTGACATTTACTCAGTTTCTCAAAGATCCTTCTTATACCTGGTCTTATTTCAATCAGGACCCAAACACAGTCCCTTAGGTCTTTATTTCATGACAGCCCCTTCCTTCCCCTTTGTTCATGCCTCTGATTTGATCACAGACAATTGGTCATTCGTCTTGTAGAACATCCCACCTTCTGGATTTGACTGACTGCTTCCTGTGGCATGTTTCCTTATTGTTGTTAGTTCCTGCACATTAATAGATAGACCTAGATTTAGGTTTAAATTGTTTTTTAGGCCAGAATATTTCATCTTGTTTTATCCCATTAGGGCCCCAGAATGAATGGCTGTCCCACATTTAGTGCTGATATGGTGGATCAGGGGATTTGGAAGGTGTCACCCCTGACCTTCATTATAAAGTTTTCCAGTGACCTTTCACCCAATGACTTCAGCAGCCCCTGCTGCCCCTGCCTCCATCCATGATCTCATTAGGGGTCAAGGAAGAGTGATTTGGAGATTCTATTATTCCTTCTGCATCAATTAGCTGGAGTTCTTCCATCAAGAAAGACTTGCTATTTTGCTTTTTTTTTTTTAAACTTTATTGGGAAACAGTGTGTTTTTTTGGGGAACAATGTGTTTTTTCCAGCACCCATCAGCTCCAAGTCAAGTTGTTGTCCTTTAATCCTAGTTGTAAAGGGCGCAGCTCAGCTCCAAGTCCAGTCGCCACTTTCAACCTAGTTGCAGGGGCGCAGCCCACCATCCCATGTGGGAGTTGAACTGGCAACCTTGTTGTTAAGAGCACGGGCTCTAACCAACTGAGCCATCCAGCCAAGAAGGACTTTTGCTCACCAACCTTGAAATACAGTTTGAACAAGAAAGACAGGGGAGATCATTGATTCTTTCTCCTTATTTATCAATTTCCAGAGTGATGAGTTGGTGCCTTAATCATCTCTAGTAGGTACCACTGAAATTGGTTTTGTTTTTAACTGTTATTATGAACTCAAGGAAGTTTACATCTCTGAAGTATTTTAATCCATTTAACCCTGTGCTATATTTTTAGCTTTGTATTTTGAAATAATTACGGACTCATAGCAAGTTGCAAAAACAGTACAGTGTCCTATATACCCTTTCCCCGGCCTCCCCCAGTGGCAGCTTCTTATGTGACAATAGTACAGCCTCAAAAGGAAGAAATTGACAAGGAAACAATACTGTTAACTAGACTGCAGACTTTATTCAGATCTCACCAGTTCTTGCTCATTATGCTTATTTTTTAATGTTCAGACTGTCTCATTTTAGGCTAGTGGGCAAGGCCTGTGCTTTTAACCATAAAGGAGTTAGTGCCTTATTAATCCTGGATATGCTGTTTCCTAAGGGACACTGGGTAAGCTCTGCTGTCAGGGAAACAGATTCTGAACCTTAGCTGTCCCAAGACACGGCCATCAGAGAATCACCCTCCCCCACACAGACAGGCACATTCTCATAGCACACAAACAAGGATTTTCAAACACTGACTCACAGGTACACGCCCCCCCCACCCCCCCAAAAAATAAACATAGAAGGGCTTGTTGGTTAAAAATTCTGCAATCTGACAACCCAGGTTCAGACCCCAGCTTTTCCCCTTACTAGCTCTGTAACCTTGGGGTGGGGTTGGGGCGTAAGTTAATGTCATGGGCCTCAGTTTTCTCATTTACAAAATGGGAATATTAGCTTTGTTGTGAGGATTGTTGTGAGTTTCTATATGAAGCACTTTTAGAACTGCGCCTGGCAACCTGTAAGTGCTCAGCAAATATTAGCGATAAGCACAAATGAGGCCCCGTGCTCCTGGCACCCTGAATCCATCCCTCCTCCCAGCCTCATCTCCATGATGGAGGCATTTCCCATCAGCCCCTGCAGGCTCTACTCTTGGAGTCAGGCTCTCATCTCCCTTCTTCCCTCCGTAGGACCAACAATAAGGAGCTTCGGCATCTCATTGAGGTTTCTGTGGTTTTGTGGGCTTTTGCATTGACCAGCTGGATCAGCGACCGCTTCCTTTGCAGTTTCTGGCAGCAGATTAATTTCTTCTACCTGCATAGCATCTGGTAAGCACCTATCCTGTTGTCTGGGGCCCCAGGCCAGAATGCCAGAGCTTGGAGCAGCAGCCTGGGGACAGAAAGTGTAGGCACAGATACTGGGTCTTGTGTATGTGGGTGGGTGGGTGACTGGCTATAGTCATGGGGTCAGTTCCAGAAAGTTTCTTTGGACTTTGGATGGTCAGGATCCATGAGAAGTAAGGAGAGGACCCAGGTGGGGCTGGGGGCATCCAGCTGGCTGTAGGGGGCATCCTGCTGTGCCCTCACTGCCCTCTCCCTGCACCCTACAGGCATGTGCTCATCAGCATCACTTTCCCTTATGGCATGGTCACCATGGCCTTGCTGGACGCCAGGTATGAGATGCCGGACCAAACCCTCAAAGTCCGCTACTGGCCTCGGGACACTTGGCCTGTGGGGTTGCCCTACGTGGAAATCATTGGTGACCACAAGAACTGCTGAAGTCTGCCTGTTTCTTGACTACCCAGCCACCTGCCAACTCACCTGTGTCTTGAGGAGAGAGGCCTGGATGAGAAATCTGAAAGATGCTCACAGTTCCTTCCTCCAGCTGCCTTTTCCCATCCTTGTTCTGCACGGCCTCACCCCAAGGCAGGGCATGGACCACGGCCTCTCTGTGCAGCAGTCTGATGACCCTGAGGGGATGCAGGCATAGCTCTCCTCCACGACCTGCCCCTTTCTCTTCCATTCTTCCTGTGCGTTTGCTGCTTCCTCATTGTCACAGGACCTGGTGGAGCCGATTCACCAGGTGCTGTGATTACGTGGCATCTACTGGGAATGACTTCAGGCAGAGGCTCAGTCTATGGGTGCCTTACTAATAGTGGCGGTCACTATCAGACTCTTTGAACCTGTCTTTGGCCATGCACTGTCCCTGGTACTTGGGGGCCATCCCAGAGAATGGGTGTGTTTTCCAGTCACCTCGTTCTACCCTCATTCACGCCTGCAGAGACCCTGCAGGCCCTCACACACACTCACACATGGACTTGTCTGGCCATCTCACTGGTTGACAGTGGAGCGACCACCTGGTTGCTGGATGGGCGTCTGGGTGCTGCTGGGGCATCAGAAGGGGAGCTGGGGTGGCCAGTACAGACTCTCAAAGTGAGGGAAGGAGGGGAGGATGTTTTTCATGGTGGTTAAAAGCACAGGGCTTGGAGTCAAGAGACTTAAGTTTGAATCCTGCGCCATCATTTCTCAGTTGTATAATCTGGTGGGAGTGATCTTTCCTACCTCTGAAGCTCAAGTACCTTGTCTGTAAAGTGGAAATATTCCTTCTTTCATGGGATTTCTGTGTGAATAAAACAAGATGATCTGTGTAAAGTGCTTAGCATGGAGTCTGGCAAACATCCATCCATCCACTCATTTTTAATTTTATTTTTTAGAAATATATATATACACACACACACACACACACATTGGGGAACAGTGAACAGTGGTGTTCTTTTTTTCCAGGACCCATCAGCTCCAAGTCGAGTAGTTGTTTCAATCTAGTTGTGGAGGGCGCAGCTTTGTCATCCACCCATTTTTAAATTTATCCATCCGTCCGTCTGCCTGTCCATCCATCTGTTCATCCATCCATCCATCCATCCATCCATCCATCCATCCATCCATCCATTATTCATCCATCATCCATCACCTAGTATCCTCCCATCTATCCATTCAACTCACTGTTATTTATCCCTCATTCATCCATCTATATTTAGCTATTCATTTATCCACCCAAATCATTTTATCATTCTTCCATTCATTCCACCTATACATTGAGTGTCTACTATATTTCTTCCACCAGCCGCTGGGGATACAAGACAACAAAGACATGCAAAGTCTCTGCCCTAATGAGGAACACAGGTCAGACAAATAAAAAGACACACCAACAAGACAATTCCAGGCACCGGGTGTGGGCTTCCTAAAAGATAAAGCACAATGGTGTTCTGGAGAACCACAGGGTGTTGGAGCAGCCCTTTTAAATGGAAGGTGAGTGGGGATTGCACTTTCCAGCTGAGACCTCAATGGGAGAGGAAACTGGCCATATTAGAGCTAGGGACAACCATTCTGGGCAGAGGAAATGGCAGATGTGAAACTCCTGGGGTGCGAATGCACTGGAACAACTGAAAAAAAAGCTGTTGCTGGAGCTTAGTAACCAAAGGAGGGCACAGAGTAAGAGGTTCTTAACCTAGGGGTCCTGGATGGGTTTTAGTACCCATGCACCATTTGATATCCTCTGCAAAAGATGTGTGTCAAGGGATGTTATCTGGGTCCAGGAGTGCCTTGCTCCAAACGGAGTAGAGGCAAGCCCTCTGGCCCACTGGAGAGATGGGGAAATTAAAGAGGAGGTGCTACTCATATTTACTGAGTGGCTACCATGTGCTCTATGCCCATGACACATTATTGAACCTAATACCCCTCCCACACCCCTTTAGACAGACAGAGAGGGCAAGCAATGTGACCAGGGCCACACAGCCTGATATGATCCAGCAATTCCACTCATAGGTATATACCCAAAAGGATTGAAAACAGATATCCGGACAAATACGTGTACAGAAATGTTCATAGAAGCACTATTGACAAGAGCCAAAGGGTCGAAAAACAAACATCTGACAATGGATGAGCGGATAAATAAAATGTGGTGTATCATACAATGGAATATTATTCTGCTATTAAAAAGAGTGAGGCACTGACAACTTGCTACAACATGGATGGACCTTGAAAACACAGTGCTCGGTGAGAGAAGCCAGACAAAAAAGGGCACATAGTGTGTGAATCCATCCACATGAAATGTCTAGGAACAGGCAAATTCATAGAGACAGGAAGCAGATTTGTGATAGGAGCTGAGAAGAGGGAATGGGGAGTGACTGCTAAGAGGTACAGGGTTTCCTTTTGTGGTGATGAAAATATTCTGGAACTAGATACAGGTGGAGGTTGCACAACATTGTGAACGTTCTAAATGCCACTGAATTGTACACTTTGATTCAGTTAATGGTTAATTTTATGTTATGTTATGAATTTTACCTCAGTTAAAATTTAATAAAGATCACAGAGTTACTCTCTGTTGGTCTTAGGTCATGCCCCCTCCCCCCCACTCCGCCCCCGGCCCATCCCAGTAGCCAGCCAGAGGGATGCAGTTCATTGATTGGTCAGGCCCAGCCACGGGCTTCCTGGGGGGTGGGAGGTGAAGGGGTTAGCTGGCAAAAGCCCCACTCTGATTGGTTTGAGAGAGGATTTATGAGTGGACAAGTGGGCGCTGAAGCCCTCCCTCAAGCCTTGTGTCCTGTCATGAGTTGACATTCTCCCCGAAGGGCTTCCATTTAAAAATTCATACAAAGGTGTCTTACAGGCTCATATTGGCCTTGGGAGGAGCCCTCAGATCAGGGATTGTTGCCAGGAAAAAAAAGGGGGGGGAGGGGAATTATGCTAAGAGAGAGAAAATTGCAATGTCCAGTGTACTGCCATTTTCTGGGGAAATACCTTGTTGTACATAATTTTATTTGGCTCCAAACCCATTTATGGCTCCCCATTGCCTATTGGATAAGGGTCCAATGCCCCATTGTTGACAGTCAAAGTATGCTCTGAATAGAAGTTAATTTGGGGTAGGTCTCCAACTGGCCACTGGGCTCTGCTCCAGCTTGGTCATATTCAGTATTGCCATGAGTGGCTGTATGTACATTTGTAGCTAGCAGAAAACTGTGCTGAGTACATTTGTTGCTGGCAAGAAACTGGGAGGTACAGGGAACCTGCTGGAGGCCAGAAAGAGGATTCCAAAAACACATCTTGAAAGGCTGAACTATCTACAGAGTGAAAGGTGAATAATGCCAAGTCCTCCCTTTGGGTGCAAACAAACCTCACCGCTAGAGTGTGATAGAGAGCTAAATGTAGTAGCAGTTCAGTTCAGACAGGAAGTTAGACTATGTTCAAAATGTTACTTTCTAGCTGTAGGACTTGGGGCCACTTAGATCCCCTCTGTGTATCAATTTCATTGTTTGTAACACGGAGATAACATGTATCAATCATGCATTCTGCCAGATACTCAAATTACTATTTGCTTTATGTTTTTCTTTAACTTTACTCCCTTTGCTCACACTGATGTGTTTAAATAGGAAACATTGTGTCACTTCAAGAAGTCATTTGTCATAGATCAAAAATAATCATAAAACTAGATACAGTAACAACAAAAAGTGTTATTCAGTGATTCCTAGCCCAGTCTTCAAGTTACAATCTCCAGCTGAATTTTAAGAAAAGGGGCTCTTCGCAACAATTGTAGCTTAAAAGTTCTTCACTGCAAGCTTCCTTAAGAGACGAAGTGCTACTCCCCTCTCCCCCATTTTTGTCCGTTTACCTGGGACAGTGGTTTTGAAAATTGAGTAAGTTACAGAATCATGTGCAGAACTGGTTAAACCAAAACTCTGGGTGCTACCATGCACCCAGAGCTTCTGATTCCATAAATATAGGGAGAAAAGAATTGGCATTTTTAACAAAGTTCCCAGGTGATGCTGAGCCTGACCACACAGAACCACTGACCTACTTATACCAAGTTATACGATTAAAAAAATACTAGAGTTGTCTTGACATTAAAGTTGCTGCTAGTTTCTTAGCATGATCTCCATCCACTCCCCCCATTCCACATGTCCTGCCCTAGATTAAAAAGTACAGTGTATGTATGATAGCGATCTGTTCTTCTTCAGAGTTTTTGTCTGGATTTACTGACAATCCAAAGTTATTGATTTTCCTGCGTTGTTCTTCAGCGCAAAGTGCCAGCCCCACCACCTAATGAATACTTGCCTGACACTTAAATGTGAGGTGGAGGGGGGAAAAAACCACCCAAATAATAACAAAAATTTATTTTTAATTATAAGAAAGAATTTTAGTAACTGCACAAGGATCCCCAAATCATAGGCAGAAGTCCTAATGTCCGAGAGACAGGTGACTTACAAGATCCTGAAAAAGATGGAGGGATGTGTCTATCCATCTAAATAGTTTATAAGTAACTGTGAAATTATAAGATCATGGATAAATTAAAAAATCGCTTTTTGGAGGGCTTAGTATTATAAATTTCGTGGATAAAATGAGACCTCTTGATCATTTTAATGTAGCACGACTTCAAATTTGCATCATTCAAATTATCATCAACTACAATAGCATCACACCCTATTATGACTGGCCCCATTTTACAGATGCACAAACTGAGATTCGGGGAGAAACAGTTGATCAGGCTTGTCATGGCGCAGACCCAGGATTGGAAAATTAACCTGCAGTTCCAGAGCCTGGGGCTAGTTCCGTCACATAGTAGCAGCACGCGGCCAGGAAACAAAGGTGTCCCTGGGGCTCCCTCTCTAGAGCTCGAACCGGTCACCTCAGCTCCAGCCCGGGAAGGTTCGGCCCGAGAGGCTCCGGCCACCAAGCAGCGCCCCCTACGGGCCGCAGTGAGCAGGCGCGGCGCGGCGCGCCCGTCCCGCTCCCGCCCCCCTCCACGTGCTGCGCACACCTCGCGCTCTCTGCGCAGGGCTCGCCTCGCGCCTCCCTCCCTCCCTCCTCCCGCCCCTTCGGTCCGGGTGTCCCATTGGCTGAGGACTTCGTCCCTCCGAGAGCGGCCCGGCCAGCCTGCGCCAGGAAGGAAGTCCCGCCCTACAAGCGTCCTTCTGCGCTGTTGATTGGCCCAGGTGGCTGTCAGTTGGGGCGGCGGGCCCGACTCGGCGGCGGGGGCCCAGGGTCGGTGCGGGACCCGGGCTGGCGGTGGTTTCCGGTTCCGCGGGGCTGGCGGGCGGGCGGGCAGCCGGGAGCGGCGGCGGCGGCGCCTGACAGACAATGAGGGCGGCGGGGCGGCGCTGAGCGGCGGCGGCGGCGAGCGACGCAGGGCCCGGGGGCGGGGCTGGGCGCCAGCCATGGACAATCAGGTGAGGAGCG